GACAGTGCGATTGGCACAGGACAGAGCGGAGTTTAGGGCTGTTGTACATAGGGTCGCTATGAGTCGCAGGCGACTCGACGGCACATAACAACAACAATATGTTTATTACACATATTTTCGCAAATCATATAAACCATAGACTCCACAGTTCTGTGCCCGTGTACTGATAGTTTTGTGGGGCCCCTGGTTGTACACTCTTCATCTGGAGCAGGGAGAACTTTCAAACCACGTCATTCTCTCCACTTCAAGCATCTTCTGGTTTCCATGGCAATGACTGATAAATTTGGCTGCTTGGATCTTTCAAGGAAATGGGTCTGGTGGTTGACGGGTCACTCACGAGCCATCAGAAGCCTCACTAAGATGGATATCCTTAGAAGATGCACGTGCTTTTAGAATGGTTTGAATATAGGAATTGCTAGTTTGTAAATAAGGGAGGCTTGCATCTTAGTGACCCTGTAGCTGATGACACTGACATGCCAAGGCTACTTGTGGGCAGGGATTGGTGCTTTTCCTGAGACGTTTCAGGCACTGTCTGAAGTCAAATGCATCTGCCTCAAAAGTACAGTATAAATTGTCATGACCCAGTTTGGCACAAAAGCACTTAAAAGGAAACAAAATGAAAAACACAGTTGCTGTTCAGGGCATTCCAGCCCAGTGGCCCTTTGCAGGGTAGAGTAGAATTATGCTCCAAAGATATTTCAATGGCTGGTTTTTCAGAAGTGAATCTCCAGGTCTTTCTTCCAAGGTGTCTCTAGGTGGGTTTGAACCTCTAATCTTTCAATTAGCCACCAAGACTGTTAACTGTTTGTACTACCCAAGGACTTAAAGTACCAGATAACTTAAAATCTGTACAAAGTGAACACTTACTAATAATCAAAGAAACATAGACTTTTAGGCATGCAAATAACCCTGCACTTGTTCTGCCAGCCTAGTGTTAAGGAGCTACACTGAAAACCCAAAGGCACGCAGTTCAAACCCACCAGCTGCTCTGTGGGAGAAAGATGAACAATCCACTCCCATCTGATTTTCCACCTCCAAAAACCCACTGGAGGGTCAGCTGTGGGTCAGTTCCAACTCGATGGCACACAACAACAACAACCACCACCACCACTGAGAGAGGTAGTTCATTTTTACCCCACTGACAGTCCTATACTTGCAATGCTGGCCTCCACTGAAGTTTGAAATTTGTGATGCCATCTGGATGGAACCTCTTTTAGCTGTTAGATAACAGTGATGAATCTTCAAACCCTAAGCTTCCCATAAACCTCATTCACCCTCCTGCTGGCACGAGATCCCAATCCACCTGTGGCCAGAGGCCTTTGTCTCTACAGGCTCCAGAGCCAAACCTGAGGTGGGACGCGGTAGAGCTGCATTCCCTCCCATTGCAGAAGGGGACCTCCCCCTTCCCCTTGTCACCACACAGCAGAAGAAACCTGTGACTTTCAAATTCAGGATTAACAGCCTGAAGGAAGTGGCTAATGGCCTTTGGGAGGTCTGCGTCTGCATAAGCCAAACATCCCTGGCGCTGACTGGACCTGTGTGTTTAAAGATCAGGAAGAAGGCCAAATAGGTGGGTGAGAGGGAAAGAAGCCGAGCAGTACAAGAGGGAGCCATGGGGGGCTTGTGGTTAACAGTTCTGTTTGTATTTTGGGACTGGTGCTGAAATATTGACTTAGGAATGATATAGAGGATTCTTTCTGCCTGCATAGTTACTTCCAAATGACAATACTTGACATAAGGAAAATATTAGGCAATTATCAAAGATTATTCATTTAAATAAGTGATTTTTTAAAATTTTGGCTGCATATTAGAAGTAGTTGGATAATAATTGCTTTTTTCCCCTTTTTAGTTTGACAGCTTTGTGGTGCTGACTGAATTAATTTCTAGGTGTGACTTAGGGAACAGTATTGGAAAATGGGAAAAATGTAAATATAAATAACCCTTAGAGGGTGATAATGTAGCCCAGATGGAGAGACACCGATCTCCATGGACTGAGGTCTCTCCTGCTCTCAAGACCTCATGTCTGCATCCTCCCCGTATGCCCAGGTTCCTTCCTGACCTCCAGAGCAATCCACACAAGTCATTGTTGAGTTGATTCCAACTCAGGAAAGCCCTCTGTTTCAGAACAGAGCTGCTTCAGAAGGTTTTGAATGACTATAAGCTTTCAGAAGTAGAGTTTCAAGATGCCTTTAGGTGGTTTTGAATCACGAACCTTTCCGTTAACAGCCAAGTCTTTAACTGTTTGTGAAATCCCGCAACGCCTGCCCTGCCTGCAGACACAGTCTAGACTCTCGTGTGTGCCTCTGAGTCTGAGACCTGGACTTGGCATTCACTTGACCTCAATCTTCCCTTGTGGTGATGATGCTGATGACAGTGAGCCCGAGTTTCTCCATCAGAAGGATTTAGGAAGTTCCTGGGAGACGTGGCATCCTTTAGCTACAGAGATCACTTGTTTATTCTGAAATAAACTTCAGAACACATTAGTAGCTGTTAGTCTTTCAGAAACCGAATCAGTAAAGAACACTTTTTTTTTAAGGCATGAAGGTTGAAAATGCCTTGTGCTTTTCCCCTATTATTTCAATATAGCTGGTAAAAGGAAAAGAAAGTGGTATATAAATATGAAAGGAAAGATAACATCTAGTTTTGTTTTCATTGGTTTATATGCAACATAAAAAACCACACACTTGCACACACTCAAAGCAGTAAGCCCTGCCAAGTACCAGCAGGCTCAGATCTGAGCATGGAAAGAGGATGGTGTGTTTTTTGCAATTAACTTGTTGCTGCACACTTTTTAAATTGACGACCGTGCTTAGAAACACATTTACCATCATTGGCGGCAATGTGTTAACCACGACATAGCTGAGGAAGGTAAGGAACCCTTTGCCCTTCGCCTCATCCCCAAGCAGGCTTTCTAAGTGGAGATCGGATGTGAAGCAGGTTTTCAAGGTGCTGCCTCCCTGGCCCGTGTGCAGGGCTGGCCGGTGGTCCCCATACTCGAGGCTTCTCCACCTGTTTCCCGATCTTCTCCTTGGCAGAGCTGCATCCATGTGTTAACCTCAGTATTTTAATTCTTTAGGCATTCCAGAAGTGTTCCTTTATGGATGTAAATTCAAACAGTCATGCAGAGCAGATGCGGACTGACAGTCAAGTTAAAGAGCCTAGGCCCGGGCCCGCAGTCCCACCCAAGGAAAAGAAGGTAACGTGGCTTCAGCGTTGGCCACATGCCTCTGACAGCCCTTCCTTCCCGGCTCTGACACTAACACACCTCTCCTGTGCTTATCCTCTGTGCTCCCCCTCTGACTTCTTGTTCTCACTTATTTTTTATTAACTAAGGGAGACACAGCGTTGGGCTGGCATCAGTGATCCCGGGCTCAGGTTTCAGCATGATCACTGTGTACCTGTACATGACAAACAACCGTATATGCAGAATTAAAGAGCATCTTTCCAGACTTCAGAGTCGATCAAACCCCGAGCCAGTTGCCATCAGAGGACCCCTGACCCTTGGCGTGTGTTTTAGAGCAGAGCTGTGCTTCCTCGGGTTTTTAGTGGCCAGTTTTTCAGAGATAGATTTCCAGACCTTTCTTCCACAGTGCCTCCAAGTAGACTCAAACTGCCAACCTTTCAGGAGTAGGCAAGCACATTTACTGCTTGCCATGTCCACGGATTCCATTATGCTTTTCTAGAGCAACAGTGGGAAAGAGAGAAACAGCAACCAAATACGTAGCACTTTGTTCTTGTTTTAAGATGTCTTCTCAACCCAAAACAATCTACTAAAAATTAGGGAAAGGCTTAAATTCAAGGACTAGCATGAAAGGGAGAGCTGTAGATGTGTGAGCTCAACAGGAGTGGCCTCTCAGAAGCATGCAAGAATACGTTTGTACACGTCTTTAAGGATGTCACACAGAAATTTCTGTGAAGCATTAAAAAAAGGGAGAGGGAAGAAAACACTGCCATTGAGTTTATTCTGACTAAGCGATTCTATAGGGTAGAACTTCCCATGGAATTCCCAAGATGGTAATATTTCCCATAAAGAGAAAAGGCCTCCTGCAGGGCAGCTGCTTGGTGCAGACGCTGACAACTCGGCTTAAAGCCTAGTGCCTTAGCCACAAGTGATAGAGATTAGACAGTATCCTTTCCAAGATATTAAGTTCAATATGGATAAAACTGCAAAAGGAAACTCATTGACATCAAGTTGGAACCGACTCATACATAGCACACCGTCCATTGCGTTTCTGAGGCTGTAAATTGCACGGGAGGAGATTGCTCGTCTTTCTCCCTCAGAGCCCTTTGAGGGTTCAGACGACCACACAGGCTCCAGCTTTGGAGTTAGCACTGCAATTCTCTCACACTGCACCTTCAGAACTCCCTCAGTATTGATATTCCATATAGTCAGAGTCATTGGTGTGGAGTACAAACTGACTCCTAGCTGAACCTCCAGTGGGTTTTCAGAGGCTCTAGATTGTACAACGGGAGATTGTCCATCTTTCTCAGAGCAACTGGTGAATTCGATACACTTGCCTTTGAGTTGGGAATACAACCCCTTACCCACTAGACCAGCAGAGCCTAAAATTATCTGAAGTGCTAAAACGTACTTTTCCACATTCTAATTGTTTCCAAAAGTTGTGTTGGGGGCCAGGGAGAACTAAACTCTAAATGAAAGTTTGTTGTTACATTTAAGGAAAGGATATGAGGCTAAATATTTGAACTCTCAAATTTTTCAACATTCTAGAGATGACATTTTATCATATACATCTATTTTATTATATTAATCTTGTGTCTAAATTTTAGGACAAAGAGTTTATAAAAACTTTAGTTTTTCTAGTTTTTAGTCTGCAATTGTAAGTGAGCCTAGCACCTGAGGGCTGTGCCAGTGTAGCTCTTCAAGGGAACAATACTGGGCTCCCACTTACAGTCCTTAAAACTCACCTCCTGCCATGGAGGCCCAACCAACTCCTGCCTGGTCCACAGACACCACAGAGCCCTGTGTGACATCAGCCCCGTTAATGACATTGCAACATACAACTTCTCTCATAAAGAAAACCTCCTATCAATTTGAATTATTGTTGTTATGTGCTGTCGAGTTGGAACCGACCCATAGCTGACACTTCAGCAGATTTTCAGAGGCAGTAAACCACACAGAAGGAGACTGCCCATCCTTCCCCTCCTGAGCAACTGATTGATTTGAACTGCGTGCCTTTGAGATTGCAGCATAGCTTCTTACCACTAGGCCACTAATTTGAACTAAGTTCACAGAATCAAATTGGACATGCATCACTATTTAATTATGTGCAACTTTCTTAGGTGACCCAAAAAGACCAACTCATGCAACTCATTACCTTCAAATCAGGAGCATCTTATTGGGTTTCAGGCTGTAAATAGCAAAGGAGTTTGCCATGTTTCTCCCAAAGAGCAGCTAATGGATTCATTCCACTAAAAAGGAGTGGCCTTTAGTCTGGAAGCATAACTCCCTACAGACTACATCACTTAGCACTCCCTCGACCCATGGAAGAACCTCTAGTGTCTTGAACTTCATGGCATATTCTAGACCAAAGTTTGGCTATTTCTGCCAGAAATGCTGAGAACTTGAAATGCCCCAAAGATCTTGGCAGAACAGTTGTTTCACTGTAAAATTTTTCTAATTGATTGTAAGGTTGCATGAGATTTCTCGCCCTGTGATTAAAAGTCCCTGTCCCATTTATCAAAGTTAATAAGTTGTTATTGTGGTTATGTACCATCAGGTTAGAACCTCCAGCAGGTTTTCAGAGGCAATAAATTGAACAGGAGAAGATTGTCCATCTTCCTCCCTCTGGTGAATTCATACCACCTGTCCTTGGGTTGGCAGTACAACTCCTTACCCACTGGGCCCGCAGAGCTCCCCTATATCTTATTAACGGAGTACCAGCTCTCTGTGAGACTGATCATAATTCTTATTCTGGATAACTGTATCCCAGGGACCAAGCAACTTCATCAAACCCATGTGTATTAAACTTGTCCCCAACTTTTTCTCATTATTAATCTCTTCCTGGATTCTCCATTCACCCTTCCAAGAATCAAATCTCTTCTTCCCCCCTCCCCCCACCCCAGGAAAATACAAGCCTAGTATTTTCTATTTCTGTAATCTTCCTGTAACTGTGTCTCTAATTTCGGTTTATTGTCTGTATGCCTATTAACCATCATTTGCCAGTTTTCTAAAAATCCAAACCTAAGGGCCTGTAAGCAGACACTATAGAAGCATCATTATTTTCCATGAACATCCCTGCTTCTCTATGACTATGGGAGAAATCACTGTGGCTGAGAAGAAGCGTGTGATCAAATTACTCTTATTAAAGTTGGCGTACTTTGATTTGCTTGTTCTTTCTTCTAATTCCAGGAAAAACGATAGGTTGTGTAGAAACTAAATTTAAGATTTTATCTTAGTGATTATCTGTTGGGGTATTCTACTACTAAATCACTTTTAAAAGCTGTATGTTGCAGGCTAACTTGGCATAGTTAACAATGAATATTACATGAGTCGCAACCACTCTGAGCATATGCCAGCCCTCCCTCTCCCCAGGAAATAGGGTCACAACCAAATATCAGCCGGATGTACCCTCTTTAGATGACATGCCAGTTTCTTGTGGGTTTCAGGTAGTGCATTCTCAAGTGTGATAGCCTAGAGTGGAAACAAAAGACAAGAGGGTGTTTTTCTTCTTAAAACCTCTCTGAATTACTTGATAATGTAAGCTTAAAATCCCTTAAAAGTAGTCATGTTCAAAGACATTTGACAGCTGAATCACTGCATTTGTTGGGGAGTTTTGTGGGTGGAAGGAGACACTCAGCAGAAGGGGTTTGGTGGCTCATGCACCTTGCATCTTCTTCTGTGCTTCTGTGTGATTAATGCTGCCTGTTGTTCGTGTGTTGTTCCTTCATTGTTGTGTGAACATTGTTTCCATTTTTAACTGGGGGTGTAGCATTGCTCTTGGTTGACATTGACATCTGGATTATTGTGCTTTATTATGTTGTAATTGCTTTAATTAGATGACCTACTTTGGGGTTGTTCCCCTCTCTCCTTTTCTGGGGCTTCCACAGCAAGAAGGGGGGACATTTATACCTTGGAAGGAATAAGGCATAGGTAATGAGTAGTATGTGGCAGGGCTTGAAGCAACTAAAAGACCCATACTTGAAAAGCTGTGCTTCCTGGTGGAGTACACTCAATACGTGTCTCCTTACTATTGGATCCTTAGGTACTGAAACTTGGTGAGACTCTCAGATAGGCATCTTCACCTGCCTCAGATAGTGTGAAGACTGAAAGCTGAGTGAAAATGTTACAACCACCTTTTGAGCATCCAGTACCTATCTAGCAGATGTATGGATTCTATTTTGGCACAGTGATTGCTATAAATTTGTTTTCCATCATCTTGTCTACTATTAGTCTGAAGGTTTTCATACTTTCAACATTATAAACTACAAGTTTATTTTAAATTTGTCATTTGAGTAGGAAGAAATAATGTTGTTTTTCAATATGAGAGTACCACTCTCAACCAATGTAAATGTCATTGGAGGATAATTTTCATAAAGGAAGTATTGATAGTACTGAAATAACTAGCAGGAAGGGACAATGAGAGATCTCCTGTTTTAATCCTTCAGCTTATAAGCAAGAAGACTGAGACCCTGAAAGGTAGACCATTCTTCTGGTTATAGATTCTGCTAAGCTCTCAATCAGATGTTAAAAAAATGGATGTGTTAATTCAAAATTGATCCTTTCATTTACTTAACTACTGCCCCACAGAATTTGAAGTCCTTGAAATATTTTTCTAATTGAGATTTTCATCTTGTGCAAACACAGGGCATTTTTGGAAGTTGGAGAACAAAGCCACCCAAGGTAAACAGAACTGTAGGCTTTTGGACTGGTGTGCCACAAATGTGCTTGGCCAGCATGTTTTGGAAATGTCATGAAAGGAGCAATTTAGTTGTAGTCCACTTTGGGGGGAGGATGTGGTTTTGTGGAGTAACATGTCCTACACTATTCTACTAGAATTTGGAATTTTTCCATGAAGACGTACGGAAATCTGATGTTGAATATGCAAATGGCCCCGCAGTGGAATCCCGCAAGGTGAGTTCTCCAGATCTGTGTGGCTCCCAGTATAGTGCAGATTAATTCCCATGCTTGGCAGACCCATCTCTAATTAACATGTGTGGTTTCCCTCCTCACTCTCCCTCCTAGGTTGCTGCAGGGGCACTAAGGTTTAGTGACCAGCCCAAGGACAAGTGGGACAGAGAAATGAATAGTGTTTCTGATGCTTCAAGAACATCAGAACACAAAACTGGAATTTTAGTGAAAGAAAATGCTGCAGCCAGTAAGAGTTTGCTGAGAGAAAGTAGAGACCATTCCCAGGAAAACGTGTCGAAAGTCAATTCTACTACCTCTGGCACTCATTCCTTAGAGGATGAAGTAAGTAAAGGACTGAAAGTCTCAGATCGGCAGACCTCAGCAGCTGAGACTCAGAAGGTGAATTATAAAAAGGTAAAGGAGCTGAGTCATCCAGGACAAGATGCTCCTAGGAGCCACCTTCCCGCGCCCACCAGACCAACTGAATTGAGCGCTCATGACGTCAAAGCACAAGACCGGGAAGATTCCGTGACAGATATTGGCCAAGTCATTCTAAGACCCAAGGGGGCGAGGCACACCAGCCCGAGTGCTAGTGAGGAAGGAGACCCCGCCTCGAGTTCTCCCACGGAAGAGAGCGCACCCCCTGACAACATTGCCTTCATGATCACCAGCACTGCAGTCCAGGTGCTGTCCAGCGGGGAGGTCCGTGACATAGTGAGCAAACAAGGAGAAGATGTACAGACCGTCAATATTGATGCCAAGAAGGAGCTGACCTCCCTGCCAGGAGGGATGGAACAAGAAGAGCCAGTGGTGTGCCTCGACAAGAAGCCAGTCATCATCATCTTCGACGAGCCCATGGATATCCGGTCGGCCTACAAGAGACTTTCCACCATATTTGAGGAGTGTGATGAGGAATTAGAGAGAATGATGACCGAGGAGAAGATCGTGGAGGAAGAAGAGGAGGAAAATGGAGACCCCAGTATTCAGAATAACCCTGCCCAGGGGTTTACCCAGAAGGTTGCCTCCCTTAGCCTTGGATCGGGACAGCCAGCTGAGGGCAAAGTGCAGTCTCACTCCCAGCCAGCAGACACCAGAATACCAGGAGGAGGACAGGAGAGGAGTAAGATGGACCTGAGCAAGCTCGGCCCAGCAGAGTCTCTAGACTCTGAGAACAAGTGTGACATCACCGACGACCAGTTTGAAAGCCCCAAGAAAAAGTTCAAGTTCAAATTCCCCAAGAAGCAGCTGGCTGCACTCACCCAGGCCATCCGCACGGGGACCAAGACGGGGAAGAAGACTCTGCAGGTGGTGGTCTACGAAGAGGAGGAAGAAGATGGCACCCTGAAGCAGCACAAGGAAGCCAGGCGGTTCGAGATCTCCCGGTCCCAGCCCGAGGACGCCCCCAGGACTCCAGCCCAGAAGCCGGAGCAGCCCAGCTCAGAGGGCTCACGGCAGGTTTCAAGAACTGATGAAATTCGGAAGAATACCTACAAAACCTTGAACAGCCTGGAGCAGACCATCAAACAGCTGGAAAACACCATCAGTGAAATGAGTCCCAAAGCCCTAGGTGATACCTCATATTCTTCCAACAGAGATTCTGTTGCAAGCTCACCCCACCTCACTCAAGAGGCCTCTCCTCGCACCCCACTAGCTCTGGATGAAGCTCCCACTGCCCTAGAACCCCCCACAGCGATACCTCCAGCTTCACGTAAGGTATCTTGGGCTGATGGAAAATGACAAGACTCAGCTGCTTTCTTAAATCTGCCATAATCACCATTAGCCAAAGGTGTCTTGTGATTGACTTGCTTCCTTTCAGGTGGCTCGTTTTTGTTTGGGTTTTGTTGTTTTGTTTTTTCTGCTCACCATGATCCCTCCTCTCACAGTTTCCTCCCTCCCCTCCAAAACAACAACTAGGTGTCTAACCGCTAATCAAGTCTCTGTTGCTGGTTGGTGTCGGGTAAACGCAAGGATTCTGGGCCGGCCGTCTGCTGTGTGAAATGATTGCTCTGGTCCTCTCATTAAAATCCGTCCAATCAGTAGTAGAGCAGTTGATTCTGTTTGATTCTTGGAATTAACCCCAGTGGTGTCTCCTGATGTCCGTCTCCTAGACCTGTCCTGCATGTAGGGCTGTGGCTTCTCACACTGAGCTTCTGCGCACGGTGGGACAGGCCCCTCAGGTCACTCACTCACGGGGTGGTCCTCTTCTCTTCTCCTCTGTCTTCTTCCCCACAGGGCCCCAGCGGGACCCCACAGACCAGCAGGATGCCTGTCCCCATGAGTTCCAAGGGCAGATCTGGAAGCGCGGACAAACCCAGCAAGCAGTCCAAACTGCAGGACCCCCGCCAGTATCGTCAGGTAGTTTTACCTTAAACCCAATTTTGGATGGACAGTCTTGCTGTTAAGAAGCAAGCCGCTGACTTAGTTGATACCAAATAATGTGTTATCTTTGTAAAATAATGGTTTCCGTAGACATCCTGGATCTGGGGGCATGAAGGAAGACTAAAAGATCTCTGTTAAACTTCTCACCACGCTTTTTTGCATGCTTGCAATGAAACATCTTTTACGTTTGTGACTTCCCCACGTTAGCTCTTAACACACGGTGCCAGCCCAGTTGACTTCTTCTCTCTGGTGAATTGAATGTGGTGGTTTGTGAGAACGCCACAGGGAAGGCAGGCAGACCAACCTGTTCCTCCACTGCTCTTAAAGCCACCGGTACTAACATGGATGTTGACTGCACTGTTTTTAGAAGCACATTAACTCTCCCTCCTGAACTCCCTCTCCCCCACCCCAGTAATAACCCAGACGCATGGCCCGCCCGGCACACGGTAACAATGGTAGTTGGAATGATGTGACTCTTCTCACAGATGCTCTTCTTCCTGGTTTTCTGCCCATCCCTTGCTGTGTCCTTGGGGGGTTTCTACCAGGTCTAATACAGCACAAGACTTAGCTCAGGCCTTGAACTGTGTTTATATATGTATTTTTTTTCTTTTGTTTATTTAATTCTCAGAAGGGCTGTATTGCCAGGCCCTGTGGATTTGCTCATGTTACCAGCTTTCTGACAAACTGTCTCCCACCATCTTTATTTACAGGCTAATGGAAGTGCTAAGAAAGCTGGTGGGGACAATAAGCCTACTTCCCCCTCCTTACCTGCTTCTAAGATTCCAGCCCTTTCTCCCAGCTCTGGGAAAAGCAGTTCTCTGCCCTCTTCCAGTGCCGACAATTCTAGCTTCCCTAATCCACCTGCTACTAAACCATCGGTTACTTCTTCTAACCCTCTCAGCCCCCACACAGGACGAGCCGCTCACTCTGCCTCCCTCATCCCCTCTGTCTCTAATGGCTCCTTAAAGTTTCAGAGCCCCCCTCATCCAGGTAAAGGTCACCATCTCTCGTTCTCACTGCAGACTCAAAATGGCCGAGCAGCCCCCCCTTCCTCCTCCTCCTCCTCCTCGTCTCTGAACCAAGGTGCCAAGAGCATCCGGACCATCCATACTCCCAGCCTCACCAGCTACAAGGCACAGAACGGAAGTTCCAGCAAAGCCACCCCATC